CAAAAAAAAAAGTTCAAAAATTATATGATATTTTAACTTAATAAATGTCAATTAAGCTCAAGTCCAATATTTTTTTTTTATATCAACTTTAAAATTTCTAAACGTAACAAGAATTAATTTTCCTGTAGAAAACATTGTTCAGAAATTGAGGCAATAATATTAATTATTACAATTATGCCTCGACCACAGTCTCCATTGCTGTATTGTAGCCGTATGAGAGAGTGCGACGCAGGTTCTACAAGGGAGACTGTGGCCATGGCATTATTGGCGTAATTGATGTTATTGTTTTGATCATTATTTGGTCAACTTTTGGAATTTTTTGAGCTGTAAGTAAATTAAAAAAAAAAGTACTTGGACTTTTTTACAAGTTAAAATATCAATTAAAATAAGTTAAATTATATCAATAGAAGGATGTTCTATAATGGAGACAATCGCAGTATCTTAACTTAACAAGAATTAATTTGCCTCTAGAAAACATTGTTCAGAAATTCAGGCAATAATATCAATTATTCCAATTTTGCCCCGCCCACAATCTCCGTTGCTGTATTGTAGACATATTAGAGAGTGCGACGCCAGTTCCACAACAGAGATTGTGTGCGTGGCATTATTGGCGTAATTGATGTTATTGCTTTGATCATTATTTGGTCAATTTTTTGAATTTCTTGAGCTGTAAGTAAATTAACAAAAAGTACTTGGACTTTTTGACACACCACTAATACGTAGGCACCTTAATCCTTAAGTTAAAATATCAATTAAAATAAGTTAAATTACATGAGTAGAAGGATGTTCTATAACAGAGACAATTGCAATTGGCGTCGGTTACAGGGTTCTTAACGTTTAACAATCTTCCAACACTGCAAGGAAGCTGCAGTCTTTTTTCTCACACCACTAAAAATATTTGATACAATAATCCAATATTTTTAGTGTGTGTGGAAAAGACTGTAGCTTTCTTGTAGTGTTGGATGATTGTTGAACATTTAAGAACCCCGTAACTGATGTCAACGACAATTGTTTCCATTATAAAACATCTTTCACAAATTTAAACAATAACATCAATTACATCGATTATGCCACGTCCACATTCTCCCATTGTGGATCCTGCTTCTGACTCTCGTATACGTCTACAATATAACAGTTAGAGTTCTATGACACAGGCCGACATACAAATTCTTCAATACTTGTAGTTTGTTTGTGTATACTATCTCTATATTGTTGTATTGTAGGCGTATGAGAGAGTCAGAAACAACATCCACAATGAGAGAATGTGTGCGTGGCATAATCGGTTTAATTGATGTTATTGCTTTCAACTCTAATTGGTAAACTTTTCGAATTTCTTAGAACTGAAATCCGCAATGAACACAACCTTAAAAAACGAATGCCTAATATTGAAACTTAAAAAGAACTACGTGGACTTTGATTCCCAATATAAGGGTACGTAGGCACCTTAATTGACATATGATATACTATACTTATTAAATGTCAATTAAGCTCAAGTCCATTTTTTTTTATCAACTTTAAAATATCCTAACGTAACAAGAATTAATTTTCCTTTATAAAACATTGTTCAGAAATTCAAGCAATAATATCAATTAAAATAAGTTAAATTACATCACCAGAAGAATGTTTTATAACGGATACAATCGCAGTTAGCATCGTTTATGGGGTTCTTAACGTTTAACAATCCTCCAACACTGCAAGGAAGCTGCAGTCTTTTTCACACACCACTAAAAATATTGAATTATTGTATCAGATTAAAGTGAAGTGTTATTGACCGAATGTAAGCTTACCGGTATATTGTTCTGCATTCACATCACTTTAAAGTAGTTCATCGTCCCCGAGGATGACTAAGTGCGTGTCATATTACTCTACTTTATGCTATAACAAGTTTATTAGAGAGTTGAAAACATAATATATAAAGAAGACCGTGGGCGTGACATCATTGGTGTCATTTGATGTTTGTTTGTTAATTTGGATACCAACACAGCGCACCACACCGACACGATTCGGATCTCGGCATCTTCGCCATTGATTTTCCGTTCCACCAGATTGAAGAAGTTCAACATCAGATAAAAACAATAACTTCAATGACACCAATGATCCCTCGCCCACCGTCTTCTTTATATATTATGTTTTCAACTCTCTAATACACATGCTAGAAGGGTAAATTAGATAAATTTGACACAAACCTGGCCATTGTCGAAATTCTTACTGAATTTTCTAAGAAATGATTGCAAAATAATATACCGGTAAGCTCGCATTCGAGTCATCCACACTTCACGTTAGTTTGATAAAATAGTCCAACAGTTCTAGTGTGTGTGAAAAAGACTGTAGCTTTCCTGGAGTGTTGGATGATTGTTGAACATTTAAGAACCCCGTAACCGATGTTAACGGCAATTGTTTTCGTTATAAAACATCTTTCTCAAATACATATGTTAATTCAACAGTATCTTGAGTTTCATCAACGTCATCATGCAATCCGACTCCAATACACAGTCTGGAGTAATATATCCGTTCTTTTTGTTAGTATCCTCAAGCATGTTACTTAATAGATGTTGTCCAAGTTATCATCTTTGGTGTGCAAGATGTTGATACTATTATCCCACAGTCCCATACGGGTACATACCTTTTCACGCATAACTGGTACCGCTGGATAATGATATAAAACTAATGTCAAATGTTGATGACTCAACTGCAAGTTTACCATAACATTATTTTGCATCCCTTTTCTCGACATTGAGTACGTATTCAAAAGATAACTAAGTCTGTATAAGCGTTCTGTTGTGTGTGTTATTGCAGGCGTAATCTAGCAATGAAAGTATAATATGTAATGGAGAATATTGACCTGATATCATTGTCCTAAATGAAGTTGATGTTTTGAGTTCATCTTCTAAAGTTCAAATATTAACTCAAAAACATTAACAACAAAAGGGAATTGTGATGTCACGTCAATATTCTTTATTATGTATTATACTTTCAATTCTAAATTTCGCCTGCTATAGCACAAATAATAGAACGTTTATACATACTTCGTTATCTTTTGAATTCTTACTTAACGTCGAGCAGATGAATGCAAAATAATGTAATGATAAAGTTGCAGTTGAGTCATCAACATTTAACATTAGTTTGATAGCATTATCCGACAGTACAAGTGATGCGTGAAAAGGTATGTACCCTTATGGAATTGTGGGATAATAGTATCAACATCTTGTACGCCAACGATGATAACTTGGACAGCTTTCGTTAAGTAACATGCTTGAGGCCACTAACAAAAAGAACGCATATATTACTCGAGACAGTGTATTGGAGTCGGATTGCATGATGACGTTGATGAAAATCAAGATATTGTTTAACTAACATAGTAAAATTGAATTTCGCAAGTCCTACAAAATAACACTATACCGGCGGAACCGCCGCCGAACAATCAAAACCTGTAATACATCTCAACATTTTTTTTATTTACCAAAAAAAAAAACCCGCGAACCGTCGGAACCGGCCCGAACCGGTCCCGGACCGCCCCTATTTCCGGTTCAGTTTCGGGCCTCGTTCAAGCGGACCGTCGACCCAGCGGGCCGGGCCGGGCCCGGACCCGGACCCGTTGACTGGGCACGTCTAAATTAATGTATCAATTGATAAAATTGATAGTAAAAGATAAATAAATGAATGAAAAGTGGTTTGATTATAAAATATATGGTCTAGTTTTTAATTGTATTAGTAGAATTGTATAAAGAATAATAAGATGAAACGAATAGTAATTTTCATTAAAAAATTATTCCATTTCCATGATGCGACAATATTTAATGAAAAAATAAAAATTGAAAAAAAATAAAAAATGGTATCACATCAGAGGCGCAAGTTAGTTTTCGATCATTTTATTAAATGTACTTTTTATTTATTGAAATATTTTATAAAGTCACGAGACCTAGGTGATGCGGATACTACTCATATTCGACACGTATGTCCTAACGTGCATAAATATCTATAAATTTTCTTCTGTTCGTCTGTTACTTCCTACTGTATGATATATGATGTAAATATGTAATATAATTTTTTCTATTACAGAAGATGGATATGATAAGTTGCAGTGGGAAACAACTTATGTTTAGCTGTCCGTACTTGAGACGTCACGGTTTTCATTTGATAAGTCGTGATAAGCACTTTTAACGGACTTGTCCTTGTCCTCTCCGCCTCAACTAACTTCTGCTTATCTTTTCAACCAAAAGAGAAAAAAGGGACAAAAAAGGAAAACATGTTCATTTAAATAAACTTGAAAGAAAGTAAGAAACGCCATTTTCTATTACAAATAAAGCTGTCCCTATCTCAGACGTCACGGGTTTTGTTTGATAAGTAATAACATTTTTAATACGGACTGGTCCTTATCCTTTGCGCCGCCTGAACTAACTTCTGCTTATCTTTTCCACCAAAAACAGAAAATAGGGGGGAAATGGAAATGGAAGGAAAATAAAACATGTTCATTTATTTAATACTTGAAAGAAACGCCATTTTCTATTTCAAAATTATGTTACTAAGTTACAACTATTATTTGATCATGCATGTGTATTTAATATTTAAAAATTATAAATTCGATAATGAATATATCATTCGTAAAAATAAACAATATTAATATATACTATTTGACTTGAATATTAATATTTATATTGATGTAATAATGTGCCTTTTGCAATTTTTGTCTAATTATGACGAAATAATTAAATAAAAATAATATTATAAGTATTATAATAACAATTATGTGAGTTTAGTTATGCCATAAAAAATATTAATTAATTTTAATAAACAAGCTTAATAAATGCAACCTGAATTCATATTTTGCAATCTTCCAATACACCTCAACCATCAATCGTTTTTTGCAAGCTCCAGTACACCTTGACTATACAATTATTATAAAAAAAGAAAAAGAAAAAAAAAGGGTCAAATTTTACGAGTGTTTGATGCAATATTTGAGAAAAAATAAATAAAAAATTATCTGAAAGTTGCAAAAGAAACTCATTCTAGAACTTAATGAAAACCCCTGGAATAGGATGAAACGAAAAAAACTCGATAATTTTTTTTGTTAAGAAAATTTTGAACTGATCCAGCTGAAGTGTTAGTTACACAGTTGGAGCAACGTGACTGTAGGAGCTTTATTAGGAGTTTGTTACACATTCAATTAAACACTTCAACCCATAAATTACCCATAAACGCCACACATTTCTTTCCACAAATAGCTTCAGACATAAAATTACAATCCATTCTCTCGAAATCTCCACCTTCTCAGCACAATCGTCTTCAATAATTTTGAAGTTTTTTTCTTAGCCAGGCGATCAAGCTCGAATTTCAGCTCGTGTTTTAGGATTTTTTGTTTAATTTTGTTTGGGGGCTATAAACCCAAAAATACAGTTCATTCATACATTTGCTCTGTTACTGGTCTTTTAAGTAACATCGGTGATCAAAGGAAAAACAAAATCCACTGTTTTGTTTTTCACCATAAATGACTATAGGTTTTGCCGGACTTGAATTCCCTCCGGCTAGTCGAGTGTTTTTCCGGCCAGCTTTCGCGGTTACTCCCGTGGACACATCATCATCTCCGTCCCCGGAATCTGGCAACATCCCCGAGCTCCTTGTTTTCTCTCTCGTCAAGTTCAGGAAAAGGTAATGGATGGCGCTTATATATATTTTAGTTAATTTGATGAATATTTTGGTTCCATTTTCGAATTTTCTTGTGTCCTCGATGTTACATTCTTAGGCCTATTTTAATTGTGATCAAAATACAATGCTCTAACCTGGTAATCGCTTTTCTGTCAATCTTACAGAGGAAGCTTTAATTCATTCCAATCAACACCCTTACCGTGATTATGGAGACAATTTCACCAAGAGTAAGTGAAACCAATATCGTGTCCTTTCTTTTTTTT